AATGATGGGGGCCATTTTCCACATAGAGGCTACTGTCACACCCAAGACAGCTTGGAAAAATGCAGCTTTTGCTCAGGGGAGGAAAGGTCCTCGTGTCCTGTGCACTCCTAGTGCAAACCACTGTTGAACCATAGCAAACTGGGCCACGAACCCCAGGAGAGGAGAGGACACGATGGCAGGGCTGGGTGGGGGTGCTCCAGGCAGGGGCACCGTGGGGCAGGGAGGGGGCTCTGGTTGATGCCCCGCAGCTCCCAGCCCCCGGCACTGCGGCTGTGAGCTGAGCACGCAGCAGCAACTTGGCCCAGCGCCGTGCCCCGCTGCCAAGAGCTAATGAGTGGCTGCTCGGCCCTGCAGGAAAAAAAAAAAAAAAGGGGGTTTGGACTTCTCTCCCTCAGAGAAATGAGCTGGATGATTTAATCCCCGAGAAATGCGAGGTCTGATGAATTCTGTATCTCCTCCCTGCACTTAAAGCAGCCATGAGAATAGCCCAGGAGATGTGGAATGGGGAGGAAGGGGCTGGGGGTGTGCTGGGGGGGCTCAGTGGTCACAGTGCAGATGGAGTGGAGCTGACAGCTGTGCCGTGTCCACCACCAGCTATTGGCCAGCCCCACTGCCAGCTGTGTGTGACATGCAGCAGGGACGGGGTCCTCATGAACTGCGATGCCACTTCCCTTCTGCTTTGGTAGCTTTGAGCCCCTTCCTCCATTTTGCCTTTTACTTGGGCTACTTCCTCGGGCTGTTCCAGCAATGAGTTTGCTAGGTCTCAGTCCCTTGGGGAAGCGCTGCTCCATCCCCACGGGGTGACTGCAAGCTCAGCACCGGGGGTGAGATAAATCTCAGTGCTGGCTGTAAAGTACTTGTGCTGGTGTAGGTATGCCAGCTCCCCCATGCCAAGGCTGAAAGAGGAATAACAATAAAACCTTGGCATTGCTTGGGAAATACTGCAGGTTGTGTAAAGGAAAAGACAGCTGGTTTAGAGTGGAGCTCCCTCCTGCCTCAGTTTCCCCAGGTGATGGGGGATGCAGATCCACTTTTTCTCCTCCCTGCATTTCGTCCCATAGCAGGGCAAGACCGACCGCCAGTGCTGTCCTGATCCAATCTGGCCTGTTCCTGCTTCATCACGTCTCTGGCAACAGCCAAGCAGGAAGGGGTTTACGGCTGCAAGCGAGAGGCATTGGGGTTTGCATTCCTTTTCTGCGTCAGCTCTGGTGGGGCTGTGGGACGAGAAGCTTGCAGGCATTTTCCATTCCCTAACCCTTCCCTGGCTGCCGCAGCGCCTGTACTCAGGCACCCAACTGCTGAGGATGATCCTGAGAGGTGATTTGCTTGTAAATTTAATGACCAAAACAGCAGCTGTGCTCAAACCAGGATTATCTCTTGTTTTTCCTCTCTTTCTTTTTAAACACCTGGTTGGGGCAAAGGTCAGCTGGCTTTTTCAGCTGTGTTTCTCACTTGGAATCAAGAGCAGCTCGTTTTTTCCAGGCTGGCTCCATCTGCCTCTGTCTGAGCGGGTGAAGAAGCATGTCCTGGTCCATGGGGTGTTTGCATCCTGGTTCCAGCAGCATGAGATGCCCAGGGATGGATGGAGGGGCCCGGCCACGCTTGGAAGGAAGGCAGCAGTGTTTGGGCTGTGCGTATCTGTGAGGAGCTGATTTGACCAATTTCCTCCGCCTCCGTCCCCCACTTTGTGTCGCATTGACTGAAGTGACCCAATCTCCCACCCCAGCCAAGCACTGGGACGAATCTTTTTGCCTGTAGAGCACTTGGAGCTGGGAGCTGCTTTGTTTGATGGGCATTTTGAACACCTTCCACACATCCCCTTTGCAGCTGCACTCACAGTGCATGTTTCCAAATGTTTGCTGGAGGTGGAAATGTAGGCATGGAGCAGCCGTGCTCTGCCCAGCCCTGTGTGCAGCACATCCTGCAGCATCCCAGTGACGGGAGAGCAGGATCTGTGCATGACAGAGCAGCATACTTTTCCCCTTTGCTCACTTCCACCTCCAGAGCTTTGTTTGTAGCCATATGTTTCTCCTGGTGACGCTTTTACAGCTTCTGACTCCTGGGAATGAGCTCTATGGTGAGTCGGCGGGGGTGGGGGGTGACAGAGCTTAATTCTGCAGGCTGGTGGCAACACCGTGCGCTTCACACAGAGGTGCAGAGCCCCAAGGGAGCTGCAGCTCAGGGCTTCCCTTGTCCCTGCTCAGGACTCGTTCCCATGACTCCGGGTCACCGCAGCAGCACCCGTGGGAGGGGTGGCCTGGGGATGTCACTGCTCAGGGCCGGGGCGCTCGGCGAGGGCAGCCTGCTTTGACGTGGTGCATAAAGCACACGCTGATCCGACCCGCTGGCCGCAGGGGCGGCTCGGATTTCCTGTCTTTATTTTTTCCCTTTCTGATTTTTTCTTTTTTCTTTTTTTTAAAGAAATTTTTGAGCTCTCCAAGGGGAGTTTGAAGATCTGGCTGTCAGAAAGAAGCACCATGCCATTAATCATCTGTGTTTGCACAGCATCGAGCGGAGCAAAGTCTTGGCTTGGGATGGGGCAGCCGATGCTGTCATAACATGAAGAATAAGCATCTTCCTCTGTCCTGGGCATTACCTTTGGGCATCGCGGGCTGTAGCATGGGGAAGAGGAGCCCAGCCTGGGCTCAACTCTTTGCTTGTCAGCATTTGAGAAGTCTCTTGCAGTGCATAATTCTACTTCTTACAGCCCTGGGGCTGCTGGCTCTCAATGGCTTTCACAGAGTGCTCTTGTCACAGATTTCCTCAGACCCCCATTCCTAGCCCTCTCTGCCCACTGTTCCCCCTGTGTGTGCTGCAGCTCATGCCCACCCAGGCGCAGCCTCGGAGCCCACAGCACAGCTCCCTGCTCTGCATGGACGCCCTCAGCAGCCGCCTGCTGCTCTGCCTGGTGGGGACAGGCCATTCTCACAGCCCTGGCTCTGCCTGTTGGTGCTTTCACACTCAGACATTTCCTTCTCTACATCCGCCAGACCAAAGAGGTATTTCTGCTGCAGAGCAAACGCACGAGGGAGGGCCAGAAGCAGGATGGGAAGGGGCATCAACCAAAGGGAGGTGGTACCAGGGATGACCAGAGCCAACAAAACACATAGAGCAGGCATGCCACCGGCTGCCCTCCAGCATCCCTTTTGCCTGCAAGAGCTGGGGAAGGTTTCTCTGCAGCCATGCCATGTGGCAGCCAGGGCTGCAGCTCGCAAACCAAACCAGGACAGCTTTGAAGGTGGATTCAGAACTTGGACTCCGTGAGAAATTCCTGCAGAAAGAAAACTCAACAAAGTCTCTTGGCTGAGAGTAAAATTCAGATTTGCAGGATTTTTCTACAGGTTTTTGTTCTTCCCAGCAATGGAAGCTGTGCGAGCAGCTTCACAGCTCTTACAATGCAGTGGATAGTCTGGAATAGGAGACCTTTCCGTGCTGGGCTTTGCAGGAAAGCTTTTGTGCAAGAAATGCCCCTGTTCAATGCCTTAGTTTCCCCTGTGCATACCTCTGTGCTCAGCTGAGTATGTATTAGGTAACAGGAAAAAAAACAAAACCTAAACACATTAAAAATAGCCGTGTTCATTTCAATTTGGAGGCTTTCAACTATTTTTTCAAAGCAATTGGTGTTAATCTCCATGCTGGAAAACAGCATATTCTTTCCATATTGATTTTGATCTTTTTCCAGCTGGCAAACACGTCTCCATCTCAACCCTTTGTTTAAGCAACATGAAGCACCAACATGGCTTCTCTTTGTGCCTCTTCGGTGTCCTGCAGGTTTTGGGGCATCCATGTCACTGGGGCATCACACTCCCAGGAATCAGTCACCAGTGAGACCCCCATTATGGAGCAAGGAAGAGGCCACTGCTGGAATAGTCAGAAGGGCTGCAGGGAGCTCAGGGCCAAACGGGGGATGCCAGCTGGGGGGAGCTTTGGGGAGGGTCTGATTTTGGCTGTTTGAAGCTTACTGCTGATTGACCTATCAGCCAAGTGGGGCAGTGCAGTATCAGCCCCTGCCAGGCAGCTGCCAGTGTCCAGCAGGTTTTGGTCCAGGTTCTCTTTAAGCAAAAACAGCTTTTCCTGGCCCTTCCTGCAGATCCACATGGCTGGAAGGAGGATGAGGAGCGTGGGAGCCCCTGCCCCCAAACCTGAGTGGTGCTTGGGATGGGGATGCTCATGGCCTGCTGTGCCTGTGGCACTCCCTGCTTGGCCCCAAGCTATTTCTTAGCACAGTGAATATTCACCTGGAGCCCCTGGGAGCAAAACGATCCTCTTGGGCACCCACCAGCCCACCAATCCCTGCAGCCCCAGCACTGAGGTTTCCCAGTACATCCCCTCTGCACAGAGCAGTTTTCCAGCCCAGGACCTGCAGAGACTGAGGTTAAAACCCCACAGCCCTTCACCCACGTCCCACTCAGCCACCCAGCACTGCCAGAGCTCTGCTCCTTCCTCTTCACTGAGCATCATCGGGATTTGAATTAAAGCTCTCACCGACTGGGAGCGAATGAAACCTGTACCATGTCTTATGATGCCATCCTCCAGACCCCTGCACGGGACCGGTTCCATTCTGCAGGACAGAGGGCAGCTGTGTGTCCCCGTGCCGTGTCACCGCCTCGCGTGGGACGGCTCTGGGGATGGGTGGCACACGCAGAGTCCCCACGCTCTGTGCTCCCTCTGTAATCAGAAGCACAGCTGGAAAACACCGGCCCAACGGCACGCTCCTGGAGCAGGGGCCGTGGCAAGGGAAGGGCTTATTGAAATTATTAATTAGCTTTGTTTTTAAACACGGGCTCCGAGCAGCCTCCGCAGCAGAAGGAATTGTTATTAAACGCCAGCCCTCCGGCAGGCAGGCCATGTGTGCGGAGCCCGCAGCGCTTGGCTGCCAGATAAAGACGTTATTGTTGTCATCTCGCCTCCATCCCAGCCCTCCGCCTCCCGCGCTCCCACCCACCCCGCGCCCGCGGTTCCCAGGAACAAAACCCCCGCGCAGCGCCGCGCGCTCGGCCGCCGCTCACTCGTGGAGAGGAGGAGGAGGAGGAGGAGGGAGGCAGCCAGAGGGAAACTGCCCTGGGGATTAATAAGAGGCAGGAGGAGGGAGAGGTGCACGCAGGTAAGCGGTGGGCAGGCGCTTCCCCCGAGGCTCACCTCGCCTTGCCCGATGTCCCAGCCTGGACGCTGCACTGATCCACGATGCTCCTGCCCTCTCCAGCGTCTCTTACATGCACAGCAGCATTCGCTGCTCCTTTTCTCTCTCTTCTTGTGGTTTTTTTTTTTTTTTTTCTTTCTTTCTTTTCCTTCTGTTCTTCCACAGCTGGAGTCTCTTTTTCCTTCACTTTGCTCTGTTTTTGCAAGAGTTTTGCTCAGCGTGGTGCAGGGCTGGGGGTGGAGGGGGCTGAAAGCAGAACTAAGTCCCGTGTGTGACAGCATTGTGCCTACTGCCAGGTGCTTTCTGTGGCAGCTCCCAACCACACGCAGGCTCAGTTCTCCAGCTGGGTAAGAAGTGCTGGGGGTGGACAGGGGGCTGCTCAGCCCACGCCGTGCCCAGAGCAATCTCCTGCTTGGGAAAGCAGTGCGGAAAGTGTTCAAGGAGTGGGAGAGGCTGAGAGGAGAGCGCACACCTCTGGAGTCAGGACTGCTCCCAGGGAACCTCCGTCACTCTGTGTGTTGTGGCACCGGGTCACTGAGCTCTGGGTTTGCAGGGAATGGGGTGGGGGGCTGCTGCAGGGTGCTGCTCCCACAGGAGGAAGGCTGGGATTGTAGAGCGAGGTGGGATGAGGCAGCCAAACAACATCTGGGAGCCTCAGGAGCAATTTTAGCATCCTTTTGTGCACGGTGGTTGAACTTTTCTACCCAACAGGCAATGTCTGTGCCTGGAACACGCAGCCCACTCCCAGGGCACATAACACTGCCTTTGCCACCCCATTAGCTGGAGCAGCTTGGCTCACAGCCGGTTCTTTGTGCCTGCTTCAGCAGGCGAAGGGAGAAAGCAACGGGGCAGGGATGCTCACTTAAATCCTGGAAAAAAAATTTTGGTGTGCAGAAGAGATTCAGTTTTACACCAAACCTGCCCTTCTTTGCCTTTTTGAGAGCTGGATGCTTTTAGGAAAAGAAAGAAATAAATAAAAGGATGAAAAACAGAAATTCATTCTCTTGGCAGCCGAATGCAAAGCACGCAGCATGTGAGGGCTTGGAAACTTTCCTAGGAGCTGTGGGCTGCCTTATGTGGTGCTGGGCTGCAGCATCCCATAGCCTGGGGGAGTGCTGGTTCCTGGGTGCCCCTCTGTGCTGCAGGGCAATGGACTGGGTGCTCCCAGCAGGAGGGATGGAAATATGGCTGTGGGAGGTCTGCTCTGCCTTGGGAAGAGTCTGGGAGAAAGGGATGAGGCGGAAGGAGCTGACAAAGCATCAGGGAGTGTTTCTCAATGTTTTACAAAAGCGGAGCTGGCACAATGCGTCTGCTGGGAGGGGAGTGGGGTGTGCATGGGGGTTTGCTTCTGTGGGTGCAGCATGGAGGTGTGCGGGCTGAGCCAGGAGCAGCCTCAGGGCATGCAGTGCTGGAGGAGGAGAAGAGAGGAATTGCTGAGATGGAGGAAGCAGCAGTGGTGCTTTCTGCCTGCGTTGCCTTCTCACAGACCATCCCAGGGGAAAGAGGTCGTGGCAAACACAACGAGCTTTTCGCAATGAGTCTGGTGACTGTGACACAGCGGGGAGAGCACGCATGGGCTGCTCATCGCCATCCCCACAGCCCGCAGTCCTCAAGCTGAGCCCACAGGCATTGCTTGTGAGCCCATGCTCACATTTGAGCTGCTCTCCAGCCGGACTACAGCTGGTCCCCTGGGACACCCATGTCCTGCATGTTCACATGAGAAGAAATGCAGCACCGACCCCAGCTGGATCAGCAGCCCACAGCTTGTCTTTTGGCTGGGAAATTACTGGGAAAGGGCAAGCAGGGCTGTTGTATCACTGCTCCGCTCTGCTCTGCTCCCCAGGCGCCTCAGGAACGTGCGGGTGGCAGCATGTCTGCCTCCCTCAGAGGACAGCCTGGCACTGTGCACTGTGGTTTTCCAGCATTTCCAGCACTGCGGCACTGCTGGATAAAGAACCCCCTGTTTTGGTTAAAACTGATCAGACCCAGAGCCTTGCAGAGAGCTAATGGGCTGTTATGGAGACTGGAGGTGGAGGGAGACCAATAGGGATTCTTTGCTGGCTCCTTTTGGCTGTTTTTAAAGTCACTATTTCTTGTTCTGCTGTAGAGTGCAGGTTCACAGGGAAGCTGGGGGTATTTTCCAGCCTGGGGAGTGGAGGTGAAATGAGAGATGGAGGTAGCAGTGGGAAAGCTGTGAAGGGAGAGGGGCTATTGGCAATGGGCTGGAATGTAATGGTGCAGCAATCAAGTCTTTACCCTCACCTTCCTAAAGACAAAGGTCCCCTTTATCCCTCCTGGCCCCTCCACAGGAGGAGGGGTCCCAGAAACATCTGTCCAGAGCCTGCTGCTGCTCCCTGTATACCCAGCTGCTTCTGGAGGCAGCCCCGATGGCAGGAGACACCTGAGAGAGAGTGATGTGATTTGTGCCTGCTTAAAATCTCCCAACAGCCTTTACAAAGCTCCCTCCTGTCCCAGAGGCTGTGATTTCTGCACTGGTCGGTCGCTGCGCTAGCAGCAAACATTGCTTCGGCGCAATGGGCTCAGATGCACCAAAGGTAAACTATTTGGAAAGCAAAGTGTTGTTTGGGGATGGAATTTCCAGCTGTTGTGCTGAATTTTTGTTGTTTGTCATGGGATACTGAATGCACAGCTGTCTCTTCTTGGGAAAAGCTCCAGGCTGGCATTTATTGGAGGCTTTGCCATAACTCCAACCAGGGTCTTGTAGGAGATGCTGGTCTTGCACCCAAGCCACTCAGCATGGCTCAAGAGGCGCCTGAACTGTTAAAACTATTCACAAAATGGGGCTTTCCTCTGCAGTGAGCAGTTGGTTTCCTGAAGGCATTCATTGCTTCATGATTTAACTCTATTCCTACTGCAGGGATTCCTTGGGGAGGCACCCCGGACCTGTGTATCAGAGAGTGATGGGAAAGGTGGAGGCATCTGCAGAGCAGACACTGCCACAGATTCAGCAGCCAGTGCTCATGCAGCATCAGGGTGTGGGATTTCAAAATCTATTTCTTGCATTCATGTGAGTGAATTCAGTGGTATGAAAGTTGACAAATAACAGACTGCTGATGGCGCTGTGTCCAGGGAGAGCCAGCTTTGAACCTTCCAGTGTGCTGGAGGCAACTGTAAATCTCATGGCAGCCTCAGGCTTGTTGCAAAAAGCCTGGTTAGTGATGTTTTTCTGGACGTGGGTGCCACAGGCCGTGAGCTGCTGCATGCAAATTGCAGGGGAGAGAGTGCTGCTTTCTGTGCATGGGATGGAAGCAGTGGGCAGACCGGCTGCAGTCCTAGCCCTGCAGGCTGCAGGTTGAAGGCAGTACAGTGGTTAGGAGGGTTTGCATCTGCCTGCTGACACTTTCTTTCTACACTGACAAATGGCACATGATGCTGTCGCTCTTGGGTCTGGATTTCTGGCTCAGACACTATTTCTGCAGAGTCCCTGTGGTGATGGAGGCTCATGCGGAGGGGACAGCATGGCTGTGTGTGTGACAGCATTCATGTGCCAGGTGTTTTCTGAATGGGCTGAAAGCTGACCCAGCTCTTGAGTCTGATGGGGCAATGGGGCAACCTCGTCCTCGCCCCTCGTGGTGAAGTTGCCCCTGCGGCAGGGAGGCGCTGAATGGCTGCACCAAAGAGTGCGCTGAACAGCAGCGTACTGCATCCCAGACACCTCCTCCCTCCACCACCAGCCAAATGCAGGCATCAGATCTCCCCCCACTCCACCAAGCTTTGTGGGTGTGAAAATCTAGAGCTGAGTTTTGGAGCTGATGCAAAAGCCCGCGCAAAAGTTTAGGATAATGTGGGGGGAGAGGGTGTGCAAAGGGGGACGTGGCTGGAGAGGAGGGGGATGCTGTGGGGCCAGGGAGGGGCCTGTGTGTTGGGAATTTGTCTGTACTCCGCAGCCTGCTGTCGAATCTGTCTTCCAACAACTCAGAAGCATGCACGTACATCCCCAAAGGGAACTGACTGCAATACTGCTGAGCTGAATATCTGGCGGTGCTGTTCTTCCCCTGTTCCTCCCTTCCCCCAGCGAGATGCCAGAGCTCTGATTGAAAACAGCAGGCATGGGAGCCTTGTAGGGTTAAACAGAGCCAGATGGGAGCAGAGTGAGACAAAAAGGAAAGTAACACAGGCCAGGGGAGGGCGGGGGGTGGGAACAGGGTTTTTTTTCAAGGAGAAAGTCAATTACTTTGAGCCCCAGGAATGCATGGGATTGCTTCAAAGGGAGCAGGGCTGGCACAGCCTCAGGGGCCGGAAGAAGCACCCACCAGAGTTGGAGTGGAAAGGGGGTTGTTATGCTGGAGGGGACCTAGACAGGCATTTCCATGCCAGGAAAAGGCAACAGGAGGAGATTTGGTGGTGGGTGCTGTGGGTGCTGCTATGCCTTGAGGCAGACTGATTTGAGCTCCAGCATCACCAAAGCCTCCTGCCTCATGCTGCTATCCCAGCTGTAATGTCTCCCACGGCATCTGCTCAGTTAGCCTGGGAGATCCATTCTCCTCTCTGTCTCATCTTCCTCCCCGCCCTCCTCCCTGTCTCCCCACTCTTGGTTCCCCTTCCCATCCCGGTTCTGCCCAGCTTCTCCATCTGCTTTGCTGTTCATCCACCTGGGCTCCATTCTCGCTGGAGTGCCAAATGCCTTTGGTAGAAGCCTGACAAACACCCCCAGGTATCTGCTGCCTGCACAGAAAGTACAGAACCTGGCCTGCTCCTGCTGGCCTGGGGAGCATCCAAAGCACCTCCTTCACCAGGCTTTCTGGGAAGCTCATCTGCAAAGAGCTGGATTCTGCCACCCTCCAGGCTGTCAGCTGGAGAGCACCCAGCAAAAATCTTGCAGGGAAGGTTGCTGCTGCTGTTTCAGGCAACAGGGATGGGACAGAAAGCCTCCGTGGGCTTAGTAACAACTGCAGAAATCACAATGTGGTTGAGAAGGAGAAGTGGGGGATGTGAGCTGTTGGGCTGGTGTCCAGGAGGGGGTCCCAATGGCTAGGGACAATCAGAGGCCTTGTCTGATCCCTCTAGATCCCCCACTGCTATTGCACTCCCCCTAAATTACCAGCCCAGCCTAGCACCCTGCAGTGGGGCTGGAGGTGACGGATCAGTTATCTGGGTAACATAGGGAGCCATATGGCAGAATATCTTCAGTATTGCCCAATCGTAATCTTGCAAATGTCCTTTTTTTATCACACAGCCTTGGAAATGGGCCGTCCTGCATTAAATCCTGGTCCCTGAAGCACAACACTATCCATCTTCGCTGCTCTGCTAGCTGCTGCAGGCCTCCTGCTACTGTTGCTCAGCCAGTTTGTTGCTGAATCATTGATTATTTGGCTCAAGAGCAAAATTAACCCTAATCCATCAGGGCCTCTGAAAGGGCAATCCATCCTTCTGGAAGAAGGGTGCAGTGAGGCTCCCAACCCACACTGGGGACATCTTCCCACCACAGGAGATGCTGCTTATTGAAGCTGAAGGGATGCTGCAGTTCAGAGCAAGAAAATGTCTCCTCGTGGCCCATCTGCTCACCTCTGCTCTATTCAGGGGATTTCTGCCCTCCCTGCCTGTCTTTATGACCACTCGTCTTTTGCCAGAATTACTGCACAGTTTCCTGGCAGTTTTAGGACCCCTGTGTAGCTCTCTTCCCTCTTAATGTGGAATGAGTAGGGTTACCTTGATCTCATTTCTGTGCCCTGCTGTAGGTGACTTTTCTCTCAGCTGTGTTTTGTTCTTTGAAAAGCCAAAAAAGTTAAAGTAAAGATCAACCAACCAACCAACCAAAAAAAAAAAAAAAAAAAGAAAAAAAGAGAAAAAAGATACAAGCCCACCAAAAACACAAATGAAATGGAAAAAAAAGCAACCCCCAATGGCATAAAGCTGAGCCAGAGAAGATCTCAGTGAACTCATGCTTGGGAAAGGGGTTGGATGTAAAGATAACTCCCAGGGGGAAGGAGAAAAAATAGCAGGTTACTGGCAGAGTAGTGGAGTAACTCCTGGTGCCAGAAACTGTGGTGATGGGAGATGATGCAGAACCTAAACTGGTCTCTTCACACAGAGGGTGGTGAGGCACTGGAACAGGTTGCCCAAGGAGGCTGTGGATGCCCCATCCCTGCAGGCATTCAAGGCCAGACTGGATGTGGCTCTGGGCAGCCTGGTCTGCTGTTGGTGACCCTGCACACAGCAGGGGGTTGCTCATCTATGAGCACTGTGGCCCTTTTCAAGCCAGGCCATTCTAGGATTCTGTGATTCTTCCTAACCCACCTCTTGTTGTCTCACTTAGGCAAACATCTGGACCATGAAGTTGGCCTTTAGCTTGCTTCTCCCACTTGTTCTCGTGCTGATCTCAGAGGTGAGTGGGCAGCGGAGGAAGCCTCCACGGAAACCCACCCGCCCGCCTCCTGAGCCCATCGAGCCTGTTGAACCCGTGGAGCCCACCGAGCTGCCCCCACCCCTGCCGCCCGGCCCACCCTCCATCTTCCCTGACTGCCCCCGAGAATGCTACTGCCCCCCAGACTTCCCCTCTGCCCTCTACTGTGACAGCCGCAACCTACGGAAGGTCCCCATCATCCCGTCCCGCATCCACTACCTCTACCTCCAGAACAACTTCATCGATGACCTCCCGGAGGAGTCCTTCAGGAACGCCACAGAGCTGAAATGGGTCAACCTCGACAACAATCGCATCCGGAAAGTGGACAGGCGGGTCCTGGAGAAGCTGGAAAACCTCATCTTCCTCTACATGGAGAAGAACCAGCTGAAGGAGGTGCCTGCCTTCCTGCCGCCCAACCTGGAGCAGCTGCGCCTGAGCAGGAATCAGATTTCCAAGATCCCTGCTGGGGTCTTCAACAAGCTGGAGAACCTGGTGCTCTTGGATCTGCACCACAACAAGCTCAGTGATGGAGTTTTCAACAAAAACACCTTCAAAGGACTCAAGAATCTCATGCAACTCAACCTTGCCCACAATATCCTGAGGAAAATGCCGCCTGGGGTGCCCAGTGCCATCCACCAGCTCTTCCTGGACAGGAACAACATCGAAGACATCCCCAGTGACTATTTCAAGGAGTTTCCCAACCTGGCGTTCATCCGGCTCAACTACAACCAGATCTCTGACAAGGGGCTCCCCAAGAACTCCTTCAACCTCACCAACCTGCTGGTGTTGCACCTAGCTCACAACAAGCTCACCAACGTCCCTTTCATCAGCGCCAAGCTGGAGCACCTCTACCTGAACAACAACTCCATTGAAAGTGAGTCACATTGGCCAGCTGGGAGAGATCTGGGAAGCATATAGATTGAGAGATGGCAAGAGTTTTGTTCCAAAGGGCATTTTTCACCTGTGAACCTTTCAAAGGGGGGATGCAGTGATGAGATGAGCTCAGGTTTTAGTGTTGGCAAATGAAGGTGGGTTTGCACGAGGTGAAGGACGAACCACAGATGAGGGTAGCAGCAGAGGAGCAGGGCTGAATGATCCTTGGAGCTGCAAGGCTTTTCTTATTCGTTGCCATGGGCAGACGTTCTTAGGGGCTAGCAGTCATTGAAGCAGTTACTTCCCCACCAGGGTTCAGAAATAGGGCTGCTCAGAAAAGAGTGTCTGTGCACATGTTTTACGAACTGATGCCAAATACACAGTCAAGATGGTTAGAAATAACCCAGATTAACTCTCAAGCAGAGCCTCACAGAGGAAGGAACAAGGAGAACAGGGCTGTGATGGAGGTTGTCTTGGCAAACCAACCTGGGCAGTTTCACGCTGCTCCAGGCAAAGCATAGCGACTTGATGGTGCTGGCCTGTGAAATGTGTAAACACAGCCAGCACATTAGAGAAGAAGACAGAGAACCATTCCTGGTCAAGCCAGATGTTTCTGCTTTTAGAGGTCCAGTGACCTGCTGTCCTTGCTATCTGCAGGGGAGCAAGAATGCTGCACTCCTGCCAGAAACCCTCTGTGCATTGGAGAAAGAGAGCTGGGCTCTCGTATTTCAGGCTCTGGTTTGGGGGCTGCAGGACCTGCACAGGGAATACACGTTTGTGAAGCAGCTGCCAGGCAGGACATTGGTCCCAACAGGTGGCGTGACGCCACCACTTCCACATGCTGCAGTGTTTGTCTATTGGGCAGTGACTGTGCGGCTTTACATGGAAGAGCAGTGTGCTGCCACAGAGATGTAAAATCGTGGACCGGGCTCTGGCTGCGGCATCAGGAAGGGGCAAGGCAGGAGCTGTCTTCTTACCTGCCAAGCACTGACCATGTTGTGATGATCCCTTTTGTCTCCAGATTGGCTCTCTGTATTCCTCACCTTGCTTTGGCTGAGTGACCTGCTTCATTTCTGAACAAAAGCAAGATTTCTCTCTTGCTTGGTCTGCACCCTGCCCCTTGCAGGGGCTGGGGATTCTTCCTTTGATAGCAAAGAAAACCCATCGTGGGGGTGACCCTATGAAGATAGGGACAAATGAATGGAGGGGAGGGGGATGGTTCTCTAGCATCCCACCCTGCCTTCCTTTTCCTCGTTACCTCTAACCCATGCCCTTCTCCTTCTTTCCCTGCAGAAATCAATGGGACGCAGATCTGCCCCACCTCACTGATGTCCATCCAGGACTTCTCCCCCTCCGACCTGGACAGCGTGCCCCGGCTCCGGTACCTGCGGCTGGACGGGAACCTCCTGAAGCCCCCCATCCCCTTGGACCTGATGATGTGTTTCCGCCTCCTGCAGTCCGTGGTTTTCTAACCCTGCGTGCCTCTCCTATGACTTGGCTTTGCACAAAGACTTGAACCCCATCAGCTTTTGACACTCGGGACTCTCTTTGCTTCCCCCTTTCCTCGCTCACACCCTGGCCTCTCTGTTCCTCATCCCCTCCCTCCCCCCTTTCCTTGCCTGCAGTGGCTTCTGTGTCCCCGGGGGTTGTCTGCAGGACAGCATCATGTTGCAGCATCTGTCCCAGGTCCCAGCATCAGCCTGGGCTGCATGGGGGGCTGTCACCTCTCACTATGCTGTCACACTCCTGTCACCCTGCCCCTGCCCTCACCCCCTCCCCTCCCCACCTGGCCCTTTGCCAGCACTGGAGCTGGCTTCATCTCTCCCCTGGACCTGGCAGTGTTTGGGGAGGATGGGCTCGGTCCTAGCCAAAGCATGTCCTGATGGAGCTGATGAAGAGGCTGTTTGGGGAAGGGATGGCACAGGAGCGAGCGGTGCTGCAGGACAGCAATCACACAGCCCTGTGATGGAGCTATTTCAGCTCAGAGCAGCAGTATTCTGCACCAACACCAAACCCAAACAGCCACGAAAGCCGAGACCGGCCTATGTGGGGACAGCTGCATCCCTGCGCTCGGGGCTGCAGCACGCGCTGAGGCTGACTCCCGGCTTTGGGAAGCGCAGCCCTCCGTCCCCGCACCGCCTCCCATCAATCCAAGCGGGTTCTGTGGTCACATCCAACCGACGGCGGCGGAGCGGTGCTGCGGGTCCCAGCCCGATCCCGGGGCGTTCCCCCAAGGTCCCGCGGCCTCCGCCCGGTTCGGTGCGCTGGGCGCCGGCTGGGACCGCCGGGCAGAGCCGGCAACGACACCTCGTGGCCGGAGCCACGGCCCGGGGCCGGGACGCCGTCCTCCCGCAGCTCCGCAGCCTTGCTCTCGGGGCGGCGTGGCTGAGGGCGATTGGGCAGGAGATGGTGGGGGGGGGGGGGGGGGGCCCCCCCGCCGGTGGCTCGGGGGGGGCCCGGCCCGCCGGGGGCGGCGGCCCCCCGCCCCCGTTTTCCGCCCCCCCCCCCCCCCCCCCCCCCCCCCCCCGCCGCCCCCGTGCTGAGATGCTGACGTGAAGAACATCTGGGCTCTGCTGGCTGGGTGACCTCCGTGCCACCCCCCGCCCTGCCCTCCCCTCCTCCCTGCACCCCCACCTCCTGCAGGTTCCACTCTGTCGCTTTCTTGGACCGAACACACGTCTGGTTTTGCCTTGTGGTTTTTAATTTTTTTTTATTATTATTATTATTTTTAAGGAGAGGAAAAGAAAAGGGAAAATTACTCTTTTGAAAAAGCTGTTTTTTATCCCCTCTTCTCCCCATTTCCACATGTATCACTTCCCTCTTGGATAGCTGTGCCTGCATATATAGGGTGTCCGGGTTTAGAGGGGATTACTCTTTTTTTTTTTCCTTCCTGATTCTCAGGACTTACATTTGAGGAGAAAAAAAATCCAATCAAAACAAATATAAAGCAATAAACCAAAGAAACCAGCCTTGGTATTCATCACCCAAAGTGACCCTTCTCTGGGGTGGGCATGGACAGGCACTGTGTTCCACTCCCCAGGAAGGGGTGGGCATGCTTCCTACAGGTGCCCTGCATGCACCAGAGATAGGAAGGATCAGCAAACTCCCATGATATTCAGGATTTTTTAAATAATATGAGTCTCTCCAAGTCTTCTTCCAATGGGCTTTGTTGGGTTTGACAGGTTTCAACCTTAGACCCGGAGACCCTATGTATATATTTATATATAATGTGTATATATACTGGTAGACTGTACAGATATATCTAGAGACATATGTAGTTCTCAACTGATTTCAACTTAATGGTATTTTCACTCCTACTCTCTGCAGCAGTGAAAATAAAGTGATTCACAAGGGACCTGGAGCCGTGGTTGTCTCTGCATCTTCTCTGTTGCATGGGAGCAGCTCCGTTTGGGAGCACAGGGCAGCCCTCCCAAAAGCTGGAGCTTGTCTGTTGCTCACCCAGGGCTCTCCTCTACCTGTGGTGATCAGGTTTCTGGAGCATGGGCCTGGCCTAATGAACAGTTCTGCTAATTAGGAATGCCCAACTTTGACTGCAGCTCCCAGGGCTGTGGATGCAGATGATGGGTGTTGTTGTTTTCCCGGCATGGCTGCATGCACTGCATTGGGGTGGGGTCTCAAACTGGGGCTGAGGTGCCCCACCTCACTTTGGTGCTCCCAGGAAAGACAGACAAATGCCTTTGGGGTGAGTTTGCCCCTCCAGTTGGCACAGGTGGACTTTGGGACACGTAGGAAAAGCATTTCTGACACACTGCAATAAGCGTGGACCCCCAGCGCTGTGGTTGTGCGGTTTGCATGCGTGCTTTCACATGAGCAGAATTGGTGTGGGCAGCAATTTATCTTCTGCCCATCACTGCAGGTTCAAAATCTCTTTTTGCTGCTGCTCTCTCCACGCGAATCATGAGCAGAGAGGGGGGGTGGGTGTGGGTCTGGAGGGAACGTGTGGGCTCTGGCATGGGGCACACAGGTGTGTGCGTGCGCCGTGCAGAGCAGGCAGCTAGCTCTCCTGTTTTTCTGCTGTAGAATAAAATCTGTGCTTTGTGATGGGCACATGAATCCCATGCTTCGACGTGGCTGCCCCTCCAGACGAGGAACCCAACACCGAAGAAATGAGGGGGCTGAGCAGTGGTGCTCCCGAGCTGCCATGTCGTCTCCATCACTGTGGCTGCTGAGCCGCCTAATGAGGGGCTTAATGGGGATTAGCGGCCGCCCTTTGCTCCACTGCGTCCAGAGGGGGCCAGGGCTGCGTTGGCAAGAGGGGAACATGCGTGGGACTTGGGATGTGTGTGGGACAGCTCAGCCACACCACACAGCTGGGTGTGCTGGGCCTGTGGGTGCGTGGACAAGGATGGTCCCCGCTGCGAGGGTGTCCTTGCCTGCCAGAAAGAAGTGGCAGATGGGCATGACGTCTGGGGTGGGTGAGTGTGTGGGCTGCGATCTGTGTGCAAGAGAGAGGAACGTTTTCACAGTGGTGGGTGGCTGCATGTGCACCGTGCTGCCCAGTATTGATGGAGCCGATGGGGCTGGTGTGCACACCCAGCCCATCTTGAGGTGTCCTAGCCCTGTAGGACACATCCCCAACACTCAGAGGATGCAGCAGGGCTAGGAGCCACAGGTGGCAGGGAGCCAGCAGCTCTACTGCACACATGGGTGCATGGAGGGGAAGAGGGGGAACTTCTCTGGTGGTGAGAGTGGTGCTGCCCCCAGTCTGTGCCTGCTCCCTCTCCACAGACCGCTCCAAGTTTCCAAAGCAGCACTGCACAGAAGGACTGAGCAGAGGGGAAAAGTGAGAGGGGCAGATGAGCTAAATGTCACAAGGTACTTGGCTGCTTCTGGGCATGTGCTGAGCGAGGACCCCCAAAGGCTGGGGAGCAGGAGTCCCCACACACCCTCCCCAAGGCTGGGGTGCTCACTGCACCTTGATGGAAACCCCACTCAGCAGCAGGGGCTGCACCTGATGCTCTGCCAATCCTGCATCCATGAAACAGCCACATGTAGAAATTGCTCCTTGCCTTGGTAGGATCTGGGCTGCTGGGGCAGCCCACTATGCCCTCTTTGAAAAGGACTGCGTGTCCCTATCATCCTTGGGGGCACAGAGTGTAGGGAGTAGAGTACGGTCCTGATCCCATCCCATCTCACCCATCACAGCCCCAACACAAACCCAGGCAGTTGGAGGAAAGCCACCACGGCTCTGGCTTGTCCGTGGAAACAAAGTAAGGTCGCAGTGGAGTGCTGGGGACAGCTGGAGGCTGCCAGTCTGATTGGCCACGTCTTACCTCTCCCCCCAGCAGTAACTGCGCCAGGTCCTTCCACCCATCCTCTGCAGGTATTAAAAACCCAGCAGCACTTTCCAGGCCAGCAACAGCCCACAGGAGTGGAGTTCTGCGCCAAGGAGAGGAAAGGGGGTATGTGCATGCTGTCTTCTTTCTTTCTGCTCCTTCAGCACTGAGCCCAGTGGCTCCATGTGGGGTTGGGGTGAGCGGTGGGTCTGGGTGAACTGGGTGTTGATGTTGCACACAGGAGGCTAATGGATTTTATTGCTCTTGTAATGGTTTGATCTGCAGGAAAAGTAGAAATTAGCGAGCAGCATTCTCAAACCAGATGCACTCTGGGTTGTTTGTATGGGAGAGTTATACTGGGGGGCTGCTGGGTGCCAGACTGCTCTGCTTGCTTGGCTGGGAGTGGGTGGTGCTCCGAGCCCCTCATCACCTCCTCTGGGGTGGGAAAGTGAGGGCAGCCCAGCTGCTTGGGGCCTTTCCTGCACAGCCGTGCAGCCAGGCGTGAAATGGGCTGAGAAGAAAATAAAAGCTCACCTCCCACTGCAGTCCCTGGCACGGCTGCAGAGCGAGGCCAGCGTGCTCATCCTGCCTTCCTGCCCTTCTCTTTGCTTTCACCGCTTTGCAGCTGTCTTAGGGTAGATGGCTTTAGGGCACAGGATGCAGACTCTGGCCTGGGTGGGCATCGCCAGCCTGTGTTTGGGAGCAACCTGGGCTGTCCCAGCCAAGAAGGAAAGGAAGAAGGTGGAGAAGCCAAAACCTGACCTTGTGCTTTATGAAAACCTGGATCTGGAGAACTATGACATGACTCTGGACAGCTATGGGGACATCATGGACCTGAACAACTATGAGGAGCTCTATGACTATGGTGACCTGGCTCCCAAGGTGAGGGGAAGAAGAGGGCATGTAGGGCAGGGCTCACCTGGGGAAGGAGGCAGGGGATGCCCCGAGAAATGGACCACAGCTGGTTCTTGTGGGCCATGGCTGGAGAACAAACTCGGCCCCTTGCACAAGCCTATGAGCGTTGGTGGTTCTTCCACTTGTTTTGCTGTTGGGAAGGCTTTATCCAATCCCAAATTTCTCCTGCTTCCTTGTGTCCTGCCTGGGCTGAGTGTTGCTATAGGATGAACCATGCGAAGACGAGGAAAAAGTGTCTGCATCCCTCTGGGTAGTAGAGAGTAGATTCTGAAGGGCCAGGAAAGCTGCTGAAGGAGCAGCTGGCTTTCCTATGAGAGGTGTCCAGTACCCCAAAGGGGAGTGGGAGAACTTGCTCAGCCTTCATACCCCATCTGTTTTGCAGATCGAGGTTGGGACTTTGGCTCCTCGCCCCAAGGACCGCGGGACTCTGCCAGAGCTGGGCACAGCAGCTCCAACACCAAAGTTGCAGCCTCTGGCCACCACCAATCCCACCCGCCCAGCACCACCAGGACCCAACACTGCGCAGGGTGAGCACAGACCGACAGGGTTTCCATCCACTGCAGCCATACGGCCCAGGGTGGGCATGGATTGTGCTCTGCAAGAAAGAGAGCAAACTCTTTTCCAACAGCAGACAGCAGCAGTTATTTGCTCTGCCCATGCAGCAAGAAGAGGAGGGGTGCTGGGGTTTGCCTTATTGCACAGCAGGCAGGAGTGCTGCAGCAAGACATTTCTGAGAAATGAGCTCCAGCAAACACCAGCAACATCTTAATGAGCACAGGCATTGTGAGAGTTGGATAGAGTAGCAATTAGATTAGCGACAATTAAAATCCTGTAGTGAGGGATAAATATCTTTATTCGTTTTCTGTGATTCCGGACTGGGACAAATTAAGGAGGAGGCAGAGGGAAATTGTTGCCTTTCTGCTTTGAACTCTCCCATTAATGGATATAGAGCCTGGTGGCCCTGGGGGAGAGGAAGCCTGCATGGGAGGCACCCAGCTTTGCCCCTCCTGCTGCCCCTGCCCAGCTTTGCTGGGACCACCTTGCTTGCACAGTGGAGTAAAGTGTTTTGCTCAATGCAAAACTATTTTCTTTTGCTTTCTTTTGCCACATTTTTTCTGTGAGAAAAAACAATGTGTCCAAATGAGCTTTATGTCCAGCTCTGCTGTGCTTGGGAACCTCGCATCTACCCTTCTCCCATAGGAGCTACCCTGATCCTGAGCAGATTCATTTATTAGCAGACCTCAGGCTAGTGCTTCCTGACCCTTCTTCTGCTGGTTGGGATGCTCAAGGGAGATGGAGCAGCCCAGCTGTGCCATGCTCAGCCATGTCAAGCCATGCTGTGCTATGCTGAGCCGTGAGGTGCTGTGCTGTGCCATGTTGTGCTGTGCTGTGCTGAGCAGTGAGGTGCTGTGCTGTGCCATGCTGTGCTGTGCCGTGCCCAGTGCTGCCTCTCTGCCCCCAGGCCTCCCCAGCTGCTTGCGCTGCCTCTGCATCAGAACCTCCGTGTACTGCGATGACACCGACCTGGAGCACATCCCACCTCTGCCGCCCGACACCACCTACCTGTACGCCCGCTTCAACCGCATCGGTGCCATCCGGGCTGGCGATTTCATGGGGCTGAGTATGTTGAGGCAAGGCAAAGGCCAGGCCCTGGGGTGGCCTTGCAGGGACAGGTGATGATGTGTGACCTGCGCACCCCCTCCCTCCCTCTCCCATCAGAGAAACTGAAGCGAATAGACCTGACGAGCAATTCCATCTCCTGGGCAGACGTGGATGCTTTCCGTCTCCTCCCCAGCCTGCAGGAGCTCATCCTGCCTGAGAACAGGCTGACAGCTCTTCCCGAGCTGCCCCGCAGCATTGTCAGGCTGGATGCCCGCCTCAACAGGATCCCCAGTGCTGGTCTCCGGCCCGAAGCTTTCCAGGTAGGTGCTGGAGCTGTTGGTGTGCACTGAGCTGTGCTGTGCGCCCACAGACCCATCTGGATGGTTTTAACCCCGTGGCAAGGGATGATGGGGCTGGTGCTGGGGGCAGGGAGTGAGGAGCTTCACCTCTCATCTCTTCCTGCAGGACCTCACGCAGCTGCAGTTTCTCCATCTGTCTGACAACCAGCTGGACTACATCCCTGCACCCCTGCCAGAGAGCCTACGCTCCCTGCACCTCCAGGTGAGATGTCTCTTTTTTCATAGCAAATCCTCATCTGCAGAGCTCCCTGCAGCTCCTCTGCACTTCTAAATCCCATTTTCCCCTTTCTCTCACCTTCCAGAACAACAACATCCAGACCATGCATGAGGACACATTTTGCAACAGCCAAGACCAGAGCCACATCCGCAGGGCGCTGGAGGACATCCGCCTTGATGGCAACCCCATCAACCTCAGCCTCTTCCCCAATGCCTACTTCTGCCTGCCCCGCCTGCCCACGGGGCGCTTCCTCTGAGCCCCAGCATCAGCCCCTGATGGCGAGCATCCCCAGGTCCCTGGCGCTCCACCTGCACTCCCTTGTTTCCTGCTGTCCCATAGAAAACATGGGATTAAGGCAGACGTGTTTAACCTTAGTGTGAGCTGAGCATCTGAATGCGGGTGAACTCAGTTCTGGGGCAAATAGAGCCAGGTGTGAGCAGCTGTAATAAAATGAAGACTTTAAAAATGAATTCAGTGGGTTTTTTTGTTTTGTTTTTGTCTCTGGACAGTGAGAACAATGGAAAGTTCTCACCCAACCCAACAGCTTCTTTGTGACCTGTGCTGGATGCAAGGATGGGCACTGCTCTGTGTCCCAATTCTTGCTCAGTTCCCTGCCTCCTGGGGACCTTGGGAAGACTTTGTGAGTTTGCTTTAGGGGTTTCCAGGCCAGGAGTTGCGTTGTTGCAAGGAGGTGATGCTTTGACCTGTACAACGGGCTGTCCCTCACCTGTGCCCAGGTCCATGGAGAATCTGTCCCTGGCTGGGACACAGAGCTAATGTGAGCTGTGTCTGGAGGGTTCGTGCAGAAGCTCCCTGCGTTTTGGGGCTGCTTCACAGCCCAAAGCCTGAAGGCAAATGTCCTCTCATCCAGCAGCAAAGAGTCACTTGGATGTAGTTAAAATATCTCATGTCAACCCAGCGTTTCAAACCTGAAGAGTTCTGCCCAGTGGTGAGATATTTTAAATGTAATGTATTCATCCTCAATATTTTTAAACACATGTAATAAACATGCGTACAGTGAGAGAGATGATGCACCCCCGGAGAATCCAAAATCCTGAACTGAAACCACTGAGCTCAGCCCACATCCTCCAGCCCTGGGGATGCAAACTAAGGCAGCTCGAGAAAAGATTCAGCTTCTCATATATGGGCACACTGTGAGCACTGCTGGGTGCTGGTGCCTCAAGTCTGCCTTGCTGGCACGGCTCGGCGACACGCTGGGTGTGCCTGCGTGCACTTTTCCATGCAAAGCCCTAAGAGGGGCTGCTCTGACACAGGCTATGTCCATCCAAAAGCCAGGACCTTTAATAAACGGTGAAAGGAATTTGTTTCTGCTCCAACCATTCCTTCCAGGCTCTAGATGCCAGGATTTATTAGCTCCGTTTCCTTGCCATCCTGGAGTCACCCGGCTTTCCCCAGCAGTGAACTCCGCTCCTTCACGTTCATCCCACTAGATGGCAAGGCAGAGTATTTGGAGACGCCTGACCTGAACGTCCGACTGCAAACTGAATCTCTGCTGTCTGTATTCCTTTTCGGGATGTTTTAGCGTTTTTGAGAGATTCACGGGCATGCCCATGTAGCTGGAGAAGAGCTAGAGCTGTGCCCAGGTGTGCAGAGAAGGTGATAAAAGCAGCCGCAGGACGGAGAAGGATTTGCTTCAATTAGCAGGGGTGAGGTAGGTGGGGATTTCTCCGGGCGTAAGGGCTTTGCAGAAGCCAAGCTTTAATGCCAGCAGTGCGATGACCCGGGGGGCTCTGCTGGGGGGAGCTGAGGTGCGTCTAGTGTGGCATTCAGGTCTCTTCATGTCTAAAGGAGGAAGGGGCAGCAGGCCTCTGTCTTCCTCACCTCCAGAGTACCAGGGGTCTGCTAGGGAGCTGAGCCCTGTTACTCCGCATTTGGTACCTGTGCTCCTGTATCCTTGCTGCTTCTGAGGAGAGAGAGAAGAAATGAGTGCCTCCCTGTGCAGGGAATAGGATGTGGGATGTCTGATGCTTCTGCTGCTGGCCCATGGCTGTTTCCCACCCTTCTAAACTCCTTTGTGACCTCAGTGGAGACCAGGTGCTCAAACTCCCCCCAATTACCTCGAAGAGGTTGGAGGAACCTACCTGGCACTTGCATGGGGACACAGCCTGCCCTGGTTCTGAATGTAGCAGCTGATCTCAGGGGTCTCCGCCCAGTCATGTGTCCTCAAGCTCCCTCGCTCCTGCTCCCCATGTCCCCAAGTTGTGCCCAGGCAGTTGGCAGTCCTGGCTGCTGTCCATCCTTGACATCCGTGGCTCTGCCCAGCTGATGGCTTGTACCATTTGTGGAGACCTGTTTGGATCTAAAGTCATTTCTGTGGCAGAGATTTTTAGGGCTGCACAGACTATCCCACGGTTATACGCATGCAAAGTTCTGTGCAGCTCTGCTCAGATTCATGAGCTGCTTCTGCTGACCTGACGTGGGCACAGCCTGAGCACAGCAATTCAGGGCCGGCAGCTGCCAGACCTGCTGCATGTATGTGGGGCTGAACAGCTGCAGGGGAGGGAGTGGAGCAGCCCAAGAAAGAGAAATGAGTGCAGGGCCCTCTGCTAAGAGCTGTCGGCTAGAGCTGTGTGAAGGCAAAACATCACTCTGATCTCAGGAGCTTTCATTGAGGAGCAGCGGGAGCTGCAGGGCTTCAAAGCTGCTGTGAAACGGTGAAGGCTGCACTGCTGGAGATGGTGAGATGAAGGGGGACAGGAGCATCCCTGCTTAGAGGGGATGGATGGGACAGGCAGCTGCTTCTGAGATCTTTTAATCTGGGGGCTGTGTACAGGAAACCATGTCCCCACTGGCATGAGGATGAAGAAGGAGGAGCAGAGCTGTGCTGAGCTCCAGGGCTTGTGTCCTGCCTGTCCCTCTCTTTCCTCTGTCCCTCCTCCCTCTCCCATCTCCATGTGTAATTCATGCTGCTCTCCTCTCACTGTCTCTCTCTGCTTGCTGCTCAAGGTCACCTTCCTTGCTGGGCTGGATTTTCACATATTGATTGCTTGGCTCCAACAACCAATGTCTCAGTGAGCTCCCAGGCTCATGCCAGCTCAGCATCTTGTCACTCTCTGAAAGAAGCTTCTCCATATGGGCCCCCCTCCTTTTTCATCCTGCCCTCCTCTGCACACTCTCCTCCCATCCCCTGCCCAGGCACGATTAGCAAGCACCAAAAGAAGGAGGGGAAAGCCTTAGAGGCATGGAGGAGCAGCCTTCCCCTTCCTCTGCCTGGTCATGTCCCTTGGTACTGCCTGGGGACACAGCCACCCTTTTCTTCCCTATTGTAACTCCACTGCCAGGGCAGTGCAGTGGGGACTGGAGGTCAGAGGCAGAGGTGGGAACCAGAGCAGCAGCAAGAGGAGGAGAAGGGAGGTTTTCAGCAGTCCTGGGAGCCAGGTGATGTGGGATGAGGTCACAGAGATAACACACATACCATGTCCACACCAGCCAGCATCAGTGTCCCCACAGTGGCAGCCCAGTCCCCAGCCCGCACCCAGGGTGGGCATCCACTGAGTTTATTGGCCAAGTGCAGTATCAATGGCGGGAGGGGAAAAGGCCACTGAGGTGTGGATGCTGACAAGATCCTGGCCTCCTCCAGGCTAGAAATCACCCTTAAATGCTGTTGAAGAGGAAGCGCTGTGGCCCAGCTCGCTCAGCGAGTGAGGCTTGGATGATAACAGTTTTATTTATAGCATTAACTGGCTGTTGGCTCAAGGCACCGATTTGTGCTTAGTGTGTGCAGTCCTTTAGGGTGGCTGTTTGTGCAGCTTGTGGCCGGAGTGCTTGCCTGGCCCTGCCAAAGCCATTGCCGTGCTTCCATTGCCTGGCATTGATCCCACCCTGTCCCAACTCTCATTCCCAGCCTCCCAGTCTGGCCAGAGCCTCATTTCCTACCTGTATGTTTACAGCATCCCATATGGAGAAATCCCACTTTAGTGCCATAGGGTCTGGGAGGTTGTGCTTCGCTAATGCTAATGGACTAATTAGTAATGGCCACCTGGTCACCACTGCGTTGCTTCTCAGCACCTCAGTTTCCAGATCTGTCCCTTATTTATCCATTCTTTAATTTATTTTTGAAGGATCCCAGTGCTGGGATTCATTAGATGGGAGCTGCAATGGTTCTGGAGACAAAATCACTGCTCATGAATTATCGCTGGGGTGCAGACAGCTGCCGGGGCCTCTGTGGGGAAACTCAACAATGGAAACTGAGACAAAATAAAAAAAATACAGCCCCAACTCAAATTGTTTGGGCTTTTCCTCTCCTCATTTTCCTCTTTATTGCTAGGTGAAGGAGGAGGAAAAATACAGCCAAAGAAAGAAGAGAATGCCTTATTTCCCTCTTTACAACCTTTTCGCCCAAATCCTGAAGGTTTAGGGCTGAAATGACAAGCCAACCCCCTCCGTGCAGCCGATCTGGGAGTGCCTGAGCACCCCGGGGCTCTTCCAACCTCCTCCTCCTCCTCCCTGCCCGGGGGGGGGGGGAGTCATTGCAGCAAACTGCTCGGGGTGGAGATGCACCCAAGAAGCAGCTATTCTTAGCGATGTTGCGTTAGGTCTTGTCAGCAGGAGCCCTGATGCCTGGGGGAGGCACGTGTCCCCAGGGGGCCCGCACGACTTAACCCAATTCCTGCAGAATCCCTGCAAAGCTCTCCGGGAGCTCTGCTTTGGGACAAGGGCTGCAAGGAGCCTGGGGTGATGAGGCCGAAGGGCAGGGGTCTGTGCTCTGCTTCACATGGGGGATGTGGCTGCTCTGGAGGATGCTGGAGGCTGCAGCATGAAAGCTGGTGTCCCCAATGCAGTCAGGATTGACAATGTTCTTGCTCCTTGCAGCGGGGGGCAAAAGCTGCTTGGTGTGTCCCCGGAACGGGGGTTATGCCCTCCCTGTGGCTGATCCCAGTTGTGGGGATCTGTCCCACACCCACGACCAGCAGCATCACTGCCCGGAGCAGCCCTGGCTGTTGCTGCAGAGAAAGGTTTCCCAGCACCACTCCTAAGGTCACTCTTTGTTCTCACCCAAGCACACCAAACCATCTCAGCAGAGAGGAATGTTGAAATGGAGGAAAGCACTGATGAATCGGCTCTACCATCTGCGTAAGCCAAGCTTTTCCCAGGCTGCTGGCACCAGCACCAGCACCTCACTGGGCACATAGCTCTCCTCACCAAGCATTCATTCCCCATCTCATCACTTCTCTGCTCCTGCCTTTAGATCTCACTTTTGACCCAAAGCCCTGTGTTGGCTGTGGGGCAGGAGGCAGCAGCCGATATGGAGGACCTGCAGACCATGAGCAGAGGAGGAGAGCCCCCACTCCTCCCAGCACGCCTGAGCGAGTGCCGGCTTTTAAAATAACCAGCCCAAAGCCCTGCTCTTCTGTTTCTGTGGGATGTAGAAAACCTGGAGAGGGGGAAGAGAGAACAAGCTTTGAGTGAGTGCGTGTGAGTATCACTAATTTATGATCAGAGAAATGTGTGTTTGAATTCGAAGATTACAGGGAAGGAGCTGGTATTCAGCTGATGATAAATCTGTTTTACTGGGGGGTTATGAAAAGGCTTCCCCACTGGGCAAATTGCAGGAAGGCAGAACGTAATTACCCCAAATTCCAATTTGAGTAATTATCTCTACATACCTGTCACTCCCCTGGTGCTTTCAGCTGAATGGGGAGGTTTTGCTTTCCCTTGCCTCTCTGCTTAAGAGAAAAAGCTTTTTTGCAGAGCTGCTGGGCTCCCTGAATAGCTGGGCTGCCCCGTGGGGAGGCAGGGGCTGGAGGCACTCGCCTGAAAGGCTCTGGGAGTAGCTGCCATCCCACCCGAGGCTAGAACACCCGTCCCTCTGCCTTTTGCCTGTGGCACCTGGGAAGGAGCCATCAGATGTTTTGCTGCATGTGGGGAGGGAAGAACGGGGGTAGGGGATTCGGGTGTCTGCATCCAAGGACATCTTTGCCCTTGCAGAGAGGGCAGCACCATCCTGGGCAGAGAGACCCATGGGGAAAGACCAAGCAAGGGGCCAGGATGCCGAGATTTCCTCCTTTGTCTGTGAGCAGGATGGCTGAGGTTTGGCAGAGGAGCCGTGGCTGGGAGGGGTGCTGGCTGCTTCAGCTGCAGTCTGGGGCTGTCCAGCCCTGTGCCTCCTCTCCCCGGCCCCTGGGCTCCCTGCAGGTGCAGCATCCCTGCGCCTCCACACCACACATTGAGGCAGCTGCAATGGACTGTAGATAGCTGTTCTAAGTGTTGTCTCCTAACGCTTCCCTGAAGAGCCAGGCAGCGTTTGGGGACATTAGAAATCGATGCACATCACATATGGATTGCTTTCCCTCTCTTCCACACCTCTTCATCCTCTCTGGCTGCCTCCATGCTTGTCCCCTCCTCCCGCCCCCAGCATTCAGCTCTGCTCATGGCATCAGCTGTCACCAGGAGGTAACAAGTCCGCTTACCCCCACCCCAATCTGGGAACAAGGGGCAGCTCCATCTTGATCCAACCATGCCCTCACTCTGCATCAATTGCATCTGCACGACTTCACCCAGCACTTGCCATGCGCCGCAGACAGAGCAGTGGCCGTTTGCACGGGGCAGCCAAGCAGAGAGAAAAACGACGCCAGCGAGAGGCAGGATGGCTCTGCATCTCACGTGGCTCCGGGGAGCTGCCAGACGGGTCCTCCGCCGGGGGCTGAGCTGCAGCAGGTAGAGGGCATTCACAATGTGAGCGCTCTGCCTGCAGCGGGGGCTGGGAGGGGGCAGCCCGGGGAGGGATTTTTCTCGTGGAGTTTCCTCCAACTCCAACGGGTTATTCTGTTTTACCTGCATCAGGGAAAGAAGAATCGGAGCTTTTAAGGGCTCTGAGCTGCGCACCCAAACCTGTGGCTGATGGTTCTGGTCTGCTCTTGCTGTTAGCTTACAGAGAGAAGATCTCTGTAAGTGAAGGAAACTGAGGCATGGAGAGAAAGGGATATTTCCTGAGGGCTTGGTAAGCTGTGTGTGTGTGGGGGGGGCAGCTTCACCTGATCTGGGAAGTAGCTTTCATGTTGACTGAAGCACAGCGCAGGGGTGCACAGACCATGGTGAGGGTTTGGGTAGGGCTCACTTGGGTTGGGGCCTCACATGTCTGCTTACATCCTCCTTTGGCTGTTCAAACACAGTGTTTGAACCTCTCACCTGGAGGATGTCTGCCCTGTACCTACGAGAGAGACATGCACGTGTCCTCTGCACTGCTGGCTGGGGACACAAGGACGGGTGGGCACCATGTGGGTAAGGGGGTGGAGAAACAGAGGCACCTATGGTTTCCAGTGGGTTGTAGATGGCTGTACGGGGGGGTCATTAGGATGAGAGCTGCTCTGGGGTCAGGTTTGTGCCTTCCCACGTGGTGGACGCTCACATGGCCGCACTGCTGAAACTTGCAAGAGGCCATGCAGAAAAATCAATGGTTGTGCTTCCGAATTACCGATCGCTCAGCAGATCGATGCAGCCTGCCCTGCGACTGCTGTACTGATAATGAACACCAGCAGTGGGAGCGCGGGAAGGGCTGCGGGCGTCCTGCTGCAGTGCCTTCCACGTCTCTATTTGTTCATGCTTTCACTGTAGTTCTTTTCCATTTCCTCACGGAGCTGCTTTAAACAGAGATCAGGTGATTGGTGGGGAGGGGGCTGCTACAGAGAGCTGCTTGCCGCTGTGCTGGAGGGGCTAGAATCAGGGGCACGTTCTGTAAAGAGGGATGTGGGTAATTTCTGACTGGAAGTGCTGGCTGGCGTGTGTCATTCCCATGGCGTTATTGTTGCAGCGAGAGCCTTCTCCCACAGTTGTGTAATTGTGACTCACCAGGTCTGGGAGGAGCGAGGCACACGGGGGTGGAGGTGCGTGTGGTGCCACGCTCTCTGGTGCTCCCCATCCAGCTGTGCTCCCTGGCTCTGCCAACAGCCTTTGCCAGGCTCTGGGATGCACAAACACAGTGCCAGCAGGTTTCCCATCCGCCTGGCATTGCTTTCTGCCTGGGGGAGGTTATTTTTGTCCTTGTCATTGTGGTTCTGTTTGCACTTTGGTGACCCCTTGGCACCGATAATAACATCTTTTAGATCCCCGATTAAACTTGCTGTGGTGTCACAATCAATAAGCGTTGGCAGCTGAGACTGTAATAAGTATAATAATCCCCATTAGGGTAACAAATGGGGGGCAGAGAGAGCGGGGCTGCTAATAAGGTAATGGCATGAATCTGCTTCGGTCCGTTGCAGCTGCAGCATCCTCACTGCAAGTGGTGGGGACAGGGCTGTAGCCTTCTGCTTCTGCTGCTCTCGTGTCTTGCATACCCCAGCTTGGAAATTTGGCTTTGCAACATCTCTTATTGGTATTCTGAAATGAATGCTGCTCGTGTCCCCTGTACTCAGTGTGGCAGAGGGGACAGAGCTCGATGCAGCCAAGGAAATGGCAATCCTGCCCCAAAGCTCAAAGGAAAAGTGAAGGCTGATGTTATCAAGTGGAGAAATTCCTGCCCCAATCCATCCTGCTCGCTTGTTTTATGCAGAATGGGAGTTCTGGGGGCTGGGAGGGAGGGGATGCCGATCGCATTAAAGCAGCTGCCCAGAGGAAAAAGATCGATACGTAATTCTGTCCCCATTGATCCACGGCTCCGATGCTGTGGCTGTCCGCTGCGTTTTGATCACATTTCACAGTCACAGATGAGAGAGCCCCAGCAGTGGGAGCCCTTTGCACTGGGAGTACTAAAGGATGTCAAATGCTTTTCAAGTGAAAACTGTATGAGTTTTCCTTAAATAAACCCAAAATAGAGCAGTGGGAGCAGGGAGGGTTGGAGTGGTCACGGGGCTGTTGCTGTTATCATTTCTTGCTGAGGCTTCTATGAATGCAGGAGTGATGCTCCCTGCCCTCCAAATGTCACCTGGCTGAGAGGTGGCCACCAGAAAACCCCACGCCCTAAAAGCTGCTGGCACCAGCATGTGTAGGGGGCATCCGTGCTCCCAACCGCCTTTCATGGGAAGGGAGCAGCCCTACCTGGACCCAGCGGGGAATTTCCAGACAAGTTATTTTCTTGCTCGAAAAACAGAAGTTTGTTGAAATGCAGTATGTTTATAGGGAAACATCAATTTCTACACATTTCTATTTCAAAATGCTTTTTTGGGGAAAAAAAAGAAAGCTTTCGCCAAAAGACCCCACTTGACCACTTTCTCAGTAGAACATAATCCTTTTCTCGCCTCCAAATTACTTTTCATTTTGAAATGTAAGTAAATGTATTGCAAAATCCCCTTTTGAAAAGGGGCTGGAATCCCGCTGGAGCAGCCAGGGAGGATCTTGGTGGCAGGTTAACTCCTTCCAGCCTGGGCTCTGCGTTTTCAGACCCGTTCCCTCTCCTTTCCTTTTGATGCCACTTTGCATCCTGCTGCAGCATGGTTAATGCCAGTGTTTTCTCCCTGGTATGAAGATTACTTCATCTCCAGGCATCAGGTTTTAAGGGCTGGCAGAACGCAGGGCAGAACTGCTCCTTTCTGTGCTGTTTTTCCTCCCATTTACCCTACTTTGCAGCAATTTCACTCGCTTGGGGACAGGATGCTTGTGGTTGCCCTGGCCCTGCTGCAGGCGTTTCCCCACAGTGGGTGCGAATGCTCTGCTGCCACACTGCTGCAAAGGCTGCTGATGGCACCAGCCCAGCAACAGTGCCCAGCAGCACCACATCAGTGCCCTCTCAGCCCAGCACCACTTCCACTGGTGCTGTTCTGCCCCTTTCTGAGCCATTGCAGGCCTCATCAATAGAATAAAACACGCAAACAAGATGCATTCCGTTAATAAAACGAACATCTCCATTGATCACCCCTGAGTTATTAATTCAGCTAATGGCTCAGTTGCAGATTTTAGTTTCCCCTCACCCCCAGCATGTGCGCTGCACCCTTGCATGTGCAAGCACTCATCAGAAGCACCAGTGCAGCTGGAGAAATCAGCTTTGCTTCTGGGACTGGGGCAAAGGCAGAGGTTTTCTTATTTGTGAACTACAGTTGAGACCAATTGTGGCTATGAAAGGAGCTTGTCACCTTCCACAGGAGAAATGCCAGCTTGGCCACAGCCCTGCGGCAGCTCCCAGCCCAGATGGATGCCTCCAGTGATTTCTGCAGGAGATGAAAGCATCCATCATTACCTCTCCAAACCAGTCTGCTGCTGCGTCTTGCAGAGAAAAATCTGATCAATTAACATCTGTTGGGGTGATTCAGTGCTGTGCAACGCAGAGCGTGCTTCCAGGTGCAGGGATCCAAGGTATTTCCCGCCCTGATACTGGTGCCAAGACCCTTCGTGCCTGCAGCACCCCCCTGGCATGGCTCAGCATGGACCCCAACGTTCCATGCCAGCTCCTCCCCAGGCTTCCTGCTGGAAAAGCCATATGCCTAGAGCACATCAGCCCCTTCTGCCCTGCCCAAAGCCTTTCCAGCATTGGAGGGGTTTGAGGTTGGGACCCCCAGAATGGAGCAAATGTGCTCAAATCTTGACATAGCAAGCAGTGACTGTTGGTGAGCAGCCAAAATCTGACCTGCTTTTCTCTTTATTATATCTGCTTGGAAATCTTGTGCAGCTCTTTAATCAAATGCTTCAATGCCTCTAGAGCTGGAAAGGATTCAGAGAATGTGCCTGGACTGTTTGCAAACTTCTCCTGGCTCCAAATGCATTCCCTGCTTTCTTTTCTTTGGGGACAAAAGGAACTGGAGCAGGGAGCCCTGCACACATCAGCTTCACCCCAGCTGTGCTCTGGAGAAGGGTGCAGTTGAGCTGGAGCTGGAGCCAGTGGCCATGCTTAGGCTGGGGCAGGGGTGTGCAGCAATGCCCAGGGCATGTGGCAGTGGGAGCCACTTCCCTGCTAAGCTCTGTGGGATGGAAGAGCCCATGAATTGGGCTGCACCCTTTGTAGCTTGCCAAGGGTGGTGTTTTGGTGTCCATATGGACTTCAGTGGCTTTGAAGCTTGATGCCTCCTTTGGAAACGGAAACCTAAAATTATAGCAAGCACATCAATGCATCTGCTGGAGAGTACCCGATGGGCTGGCAGTGGGATATCCAGTTCCCAGCTGGGGAAGGCTTGTGGAGAGATGCAGGAAAAAGCCAGGAGCTATTTCAGCTCCCTGTGCCACCCCCTTCCTCACACAGCTCCGGTTTCAATGCTAACAAATGCTTTGCAGGGAGCTGTGCCAGTGATGCTCAGAGCACGCAGCATGGGAGCAAATTGTCACCCTGCCCCGTGCAGGGAAATCCCTTTGATGCTAATGTGGCTGGAGGGGGAAAGAAGAGGAGTGGGCATGAAGGCATCCTGCTTGGCTGGTTCTCTGAGCCCTGACAGGCTTTGCAGTGTTCTTCTGTTGCTTTTCAGCTTTTGCTGTTAGATTTGATAATTGCAGCTGGCTGGCTTGCTCCCTCCTTGCTGGAAAAGCACTGACTTGTTATGCGCTTCAGTGCACCCAGGGCAAGGCTGGATCTTGCAGAGCTGGTGGGGGAGGATGGTGAATGCATCCATTGCCTAGAAGGCTTGGAAGTGAGCCTGATAAAGGAGAATACGCCTTGCTGGAGTCAGGCAGAGGTGTTCAACACTTGGGATACAGCCAGAAGGAGGAGCAGGGTCTGCAATGGGCAAATAATGGGGTTTTCCAAGTGTCTGTTGTGCCTCTTTCCTGGCAGCATCAGCGGCCTGGTGTGGATGGAGCAGCCGTCCGGGTGTTTCCCGGTGGACCTGAAGAGTGATGCTGCGGCAGCTCCGCGCTGTCATCCGTGATGCAGATGTGTCACCGTCCCCCGGGGTCCCCGTGCGGCAGCCAGTGCCAGCTCCTGCTGCCACCACCATCTCTGAGTCTGCGAAGGAGGGAACCTGAGGCCGGAGCATCTGTGCACACAGCAGGGAGCTGGCTGCTGGCCCCGAGATGCGCTGAGCGGTCACAAACAGGGGACAGAAATCCCTGCCTGGCCTGGAAGGAGCCCCTCGGGCTCAGGAGAGGTGGATGTGGTGGATGTGCTGTCTCTGCCTCCCACATCCCTTTGTCACCATGAAGCTGAATGCTGGGAGCCTGGTGGTGCAGCCCTGCTGCAAATCCTGCTTCTGCTTGGGTTCTTCTGGGATTCATGACAGCCTGGAGGGCTCAGGGTGGGTGCAAGGGAGGAATCCAGGAGGCAGAAAGAGCTGGGAAATGTGAGGGAAGAGAGCTGTGGGGGAGGATAAGGACCTGAGCTGGGTATCAAGGGATGGAGCAGCTGCTGCTAGCAGTGTCTGTGCCCAAGCAAGCTGCTCCTCTCTCTTTTGTAGCCCTCCCTGAGCCCACTGAGCTGAATCCCCCCCATATTTCTGCCCTCCTCCTTCCTCTGCCCCTGGGTGTGCCAAGGATGTCCCCTGAGACCCCACTACTGCCTTTCCCCTGCAGCCTCCCTGCAAAAACACTTTCCTAAGAACTCTGGAATAAAAAAAGAAAGAAGAAACAGCCCCCTTGTTCTGCTGTGACCAACTGGCTCTTTTTCCAGTCACAAGGGCGAGCTGAAGCAAAAGTTTCCATGCTGAGCAGGAACAGAAAGAGAGAGGGAGAAGTAACAAACCCTCCACTAAAGAAAAAAAAAAAACAAAACAAAAAAAAAAAAGACAAAGGAAAAAAAAGGGCAGCAAAATCAAGCATTGCTTCCTTTCCCTCATCTACTTCCTTTTTGGAACAAGGCAGGGTACTTGGAAAAGTGTGCTCTAAGCAGGCGCAGATGCATGTGCTGCTGAGCTGGAGATCAGAGTTGTGCAAACGTTGGTTTAGTTCTGCTCGAGCAGTGGAGTGAGGGGCGTGGGGCGCCTCTGAATTCGGGTGCTTTGAGGTTATTGCCACGTCAGTGTGCAAGGCTTTCCTGGCTTGCTTGCTGCCGGGTCCAAAGAGGCAGAAATGTGGTTTAAAAGCTGATGGTCCCCATGACATCTCAGGATGCTGGGCTTTGGAGAAATATTGAACAAGGAGAGATGGGCACCAAGTGCTTCCTTTTGGGTTGTGCTTCTGGGAGGTCAGCTTGGAACCACCAACAGAGCTCAGGTCCAATGTTTTGCCGGCAGCAGTGTTGTTGCTTTGGGGGTCTGGATGCACATTGGAAGTGACAGTCCCTGTCCCACGGTGCTTCCTCTCTCTGCACCATCAGAGTGATGAGACATTCTTGCTCTGGGGCAGCTATGAATAGCACTGGGATTTTCAACCTGCAGATTTTCAGGACAGAACCTCTATCCAGGAATCCTCACTGCAGCCTTCTGTAGGGCAGTGTGGGGCGGTGCTGGTGGCCTGCTAACAGCATCCCTTCCTCCACCACTCAGCTGTGTGTCGTCTGCAAGCATGCTGGGGGTGCACTCAGTTCCACAGTCATCATTGACAAAGATGTTGAAGATCACTGGCCTCAGCATTTTGGTTTCTCCAAAATCTCCCCTTGAGGTTCCTCCCTTGGTCCCCTCCTGCTAAATGGTTCATCCTGAACGCCCTCCTTAATGCCCCTGATAGTCACGCTGGCATAAATGCCTTTTGGACAGAACGCTGTCTCTCTGTACTCTGTACAGCCCTGATGAGCTGCATCCTTAAAAACTGATCCAAGTGATGTGACCTTTCCTCAGTCATTCCCCACTGCCCCAGGAATTTGGGAATGATGCACCTGTTTGTCTTTGCTGGGCCATAAAGGAGAAGAGAAACAAAACAGCAAAAGAGAAATAAAGCAGGGCAAGAGCAGCCGGCCCTCTCCTGGCTTGTTCTTATGGGTGCCAGGGGCAGGATGGCCCTGCCAGCAATGGTAATTCCCCACGGTGACAATTCCCTGGCAATTTCCTCCTTTCTCCTCCCTTTTCCCAGCATCACTCTCACATGCCAGCTCAGGCACGTCTCCGCAGCTCCAGGCAGAGATGTGTGCCTGGCGCTGGTGTTGCACGGAGGTGATGCTGCTCTGCTCTGCTCAGGCGGTCCCCTGCAACCACAGCCCCGCCATTCCTCTTGGAGAAGCAAATCCTGCTGGCTGTGACGCCGGCACAGGGGAGCAGCCACCCCGAGCGCCCTTCCCCAGCTCTCAGGAAGGGTGGATGCTGTTTGAGGAGGCGATGTGGGAACACTGCACCCCACATCCCCTGGCTGTGACCCTCCCTTGGGGAAACGGCGCTTGCTGGGAGCCAACTTGCTGTCGTTTCTGGAAAGTGGAGCTTTGAGCAAACTATTTATAAATGGAGTTTTCTTTAACTCCTGAAATTGAGCCATAACTTCAGACAAACAGGAAAAAAGAAATGCAGGCAAATAAACACAGGCAAAAATAAATATATTGGCAGCCTAATTTTGCAAACAGTCCAGTGGTCTTGGGAAGGGTCCAGGTTTGGAAGCATTGGCACTGGAGCTTGCCAATGGCTTTTGGTGGCCTGCGGGGCTGCAGGGGTTTCTTTCTGCCTACTTTGCTCAAGGATGAATCCTCCAGAGTATTTGCCCCCCAGGTTTTGGAGGAGCACAGACGGGACACATCACCCAGCATGTTTGCCTCCCAGAATCTGCCATCCCAAAAGCAGAGCTAGGGTGTGCAACCGTGATGGGCTCCCCGTTGTTTGTCCCTCCACAGGACTGTGGAAGCCAGCAGTGCTTTGCTGTGCTGGGGCCACCGTTCCCTCCGCAGCACAGGACTGACAGCAGTGCTGTCAGCCCCCAGCATAAATCCTGCTGATATTTAAGCTCTGAGCCATCTCTGCCCACCCACAATTACCTCGGTGGGAAATGCCAGGCACAGTGACCTTTCTCCATGCGGGGGATTTATGGCCTTGCATCGCCAGGGCTTTTACAGCCTGGTTTGTCGACACAGCCTCAAATGCCACCAGGGATGGGTGCCGCTCCATACCCACAGAGCGTGGTGCTCCTGCATCTGCAGGGCACGAGGCTCGTTGGATGGCAGCACCTCACCCACTGCACTGTAAGCCCTGCCCAGCCTTGTCAGCACTGCGTGCCCCGCTCCCTGCACTCCCACCGGCAGCCCCAGCCCATCTCAAACGCGTTCATCCATTTCTGCCACCGGAGAGAGCAGCTTCAGGAAGCAGGGCCATAAATTACTGGCAATGATTAGAAATAAAAATCATTACTGTGATGAATGGGGTTTTATTTCTCTTTTAAGAGAGATCGTGGAAAACCAGAGCGGAGGAGAGGCTGGGGAAGAGGAGGTGTTACATTTTCAATTTTTGACAAGTTAAGGAGGATAAAGCTGACTGCATGAGAGATCTTTGAAACAGGCGTTTGCTGTGTGTCCCTTGCTGGGGATGGAGGGAGCATGAGTGTGTGCGTGTGAGTAAGGGCTTCAGTAACCAAGCCTGGCCTCCAGCACCTCTCCTACCAACACACCGCATACCTTGAGCTTCCCATATGGTTCTGCATTATCAGGACAGCGTATTGCACTTCTCAGGGCGATGCTTGTGCCTTGGAGAAGTTGTCTTGGCCACTCATGGCGAGGTACTTGGTGCTGTACAAACCCTGTGAAAGCAATGTTCGTAGCTTCAGTCTGCGGGGAATCATCTGCTGGTGTCTGCAGTGCCCACATCCCACGTCCTACAGCATCCCCGTCCCATAGCGCCGGCATCCCCGCATCCCTCTGCACCCACGCTCCTGTCGCTGGCTCAGCTCCTTCTGGCACTGCAGCTCCCAGATCCAAAGGGAAGCTACGCACATGATGACTTCAGGATTGGGAGCTTGTATTAATTAAGCAGCAATGATCCAAGTCACAGACCATTTCCTGGGGATTAATGACTGCCTGGGAGGAGTTAATGACTTGAGATGAAGCCAAAAACCCCATTTACCCCAAATGATGCTGAGTGTGAGCACACACCCTGTGCCAAGGTCAGCACCACCATTTTAAGACAATATTTTAAATCAGTGCTAAGGGTAATGAGGTCTAGGAAATGGATTTTCCTTCTCACCATGGTAATGCAGATCAATCGTGGGTAAGTTTGGGGAGAGAGAATGCCCTTGGCATTAAAGCATGGGCCCATTACTGGGGGCAGGATGGTGCCCAGGGAGTGCCCCCCACCTCTGCTTGCAATTTCTAGCTGAGCTGCATAGGCCAGAAGCACTCAGAAGATGCAGGCGTGAAGAGCAAGGGAAGCAGTGAGGCAGAAAGAGCCCCACTGCAGCGTTGTGCCTGGAGTAAGCCAGAATCCGTCCACTTGACGATTACTGCCGATAAATGTTTTAGAGTTGTCATGGCAATGAAAGAGCCTGGCTAATCCTTGGGTTGCCTTTCCTCAAAGGGAAGAAAGTTTGCAGCGCCGTGGGGTGGGTACCTGCCTGCGGGAGGGAGCAGCCCTGCGGGTGCTTTCATCTCAGTGCTGCCAGTCCTCCCATGCGCCGATGAAAACGAGTCCTTCTGGAGGAGGGGGAGAGCTTCTCCATCCCCACCAGGCAGTGAGCGATCCCTTTGTGATCACTGATTATTTATTTGCAGTATATCCCTGCCTTGTATGTCAGCGCATCCCTGCCTTCCCTATCACGGGTGGGATGAGTGAATGCAGCACCAGCTGGTCACGGGATGCTCTGAGCAGACTGCAAATGGGGATTAAACTGGAGGTGGATGTAGACAACATGATACTTGGGGAAAGAAGAGTCTAAATGCATCCTGCCCAAGCATCTGTCGCTGGCTGCAAGTAGAAATCATAGAATCATAAAACACTTGGTTTGGAATGGCCTTTGAAGTTCATAGGACTGTACAGCGGCTGGGTTGGAAGGGACCTTACAGCCCTCCTAGCCCCAACCCCTCCCTCAGCCTGTCCCCACAGAAGAAATACTGCAGCCTCTCCAAGCATCTTCATGGCTCTCCTCCAACAGCTCTACATCCTTCATGTGCTGGAGGGCCCAGAGCATTGGCTTTTCCCTTCATCCCAGTCAAAGCAGAGCAGTCCAAGGCACCAACAGACAGCAGTGTGGTGGGAAATGGGGCAAAAACACCCAGCCCAGCAAGTATCTCTGTCTCCTGGGCAGATGAACATCTCCAGCCAGGTGTCTCCCCTCTCTGAAGCCAGGATGGAGCTGAGCACTTGGTGAACAACCAGGCACCATCCACCTCATGGGGCACACACAACTGCTTTCCCACTGCAGCCAAGAGCTTCCACAGAGCTGCTCATTCAAGGCTCACTCCTATTACTGGAAAGTTTTATAGCCACTGACTGTTTGTGATTAATCATTTTGTTTTAATCGCTGCTCCCTTGGCTGGCAGAGGCTCAGAGGGGATTTTATGCCTCTTGGCTGCTTCCCTCAGGTATGTTCCAGGATGGTCTGATTGCAGAGCACCAAGCATGAGAATAGTCAAAGCATGCATGCAGGTTCAGTGGGGTATGGGCTTGGTGGCCGTGCCACCAGCAGTAGCTCAGGAGCCAACATGCCACGGAACCCCTCACTCAGCATCTCTGCTTCCCAAGCAGCACAGTGGGAGAAATCTGCACTGAGAGCATTGGATGCTGGCAGCCCCCTGCCAAGAGCTGAAAGCAGGCGGATGCAGGGTGAGATGCAGCAGCTGTGAAATATCCTCCTGTGCATCACTGCACACTGCAGGAAAGAAATGCAAGGAGCAGCTTCAGAAGGCAAATTAGGAATCCCCGAGATGGAGTGTGCCCCAAGATGTAGGTGAGGATGCCCTTGCCTCTGCAAACAATGGGGTGTTCCCAGGCTCGAGCCAGTCCGAGTTCCACATCTCTTTTGTGGGAAATGATGACATCTGAAAATGGGATTTAGATTCAAGCAGTGCTCAGGATGCTATGGTCAGCTGGGAAAGCAGTGGAGCTGTTGGCATCCTGGGGCTGGCTCCCTGCACCTGCAGCTCCTGCAGCCCTGGCAGCAAGAGGATTAGAGCCCCAGACCTGACAGCTCTGCAAGAGTTCCTCCTGGCTTACCTCACGAAGAAAATCCTCGTGGGTAGCAGTTCGGAGTTTTCATGAGAAAGGGGTTACTCAGAAATCATTTCCAATTGCCATTTTCAAACATATGTGGGGGGACACTACTTGGTACCACTGCAGCACTGCAGGCTGCTTCCAAGCAGGCACGCATGTGCTCCCATGCTTTGGAGCTGCAAGTTCATTGCTCTGCTGATCCCAGGAGCTGCGCTTCTTTCTTCTGCCTCCACTACACATTGAATGAGGCATCAGCTGCTGTCCTCCACATTGCATTGAAGTTGATCATCAAACACAGCCTGAAATAGCACAAGTATTCCCTGTGAGATGATTTTGCTGGCAAAGGGGCTTTTTCCCCTGAGGTTTCTCCCTGCAGGAGGCTTTGAGCTGGCTCATGGGTCCCATGTGGCTGCTGTGTCCTTTGCTGTCACAAGGAGAGCGTGACAGCCCAGGATGCTGCCTGCACCTTGCCTGCATCTTCGCACTGAATAATTGAAAGCACATGCAATGGCCACAAATATTTAATAGCTTGTTCATCAAAAATTTACCCGTGTTAAACCTGTCATTCCATATGTCTTACAGGTCTGGAGAAAAGGCAGCAGGGAGGAGATGCTTCAGCCAGAGACAGCTATAACAGATTGGGGATGGGGTTGTGCCAGGGTGTTGTGGGCAGATGGGTGGGCAGGGAGGGGGCTGCAGGAGATGGGATCCCCTGTGCTGATGCATCTGAGCACAGCAATGTTCGGGCCTCGCATTCACCCCCTTTGCAATCTGCTGCAGCCTACTCTGTCTCAGGGAAGGCACTGCAGGAACTTGGTTGCTTTAATTCCCCATCCCTTGGTCCCAGCTCAGAGCCTCCTCATGGCCCTCTGGGTGACTCTGCAGAGCTGGTCTGTGGTTGTGCCTGGTGCAGCCCCCTCCAGCGCTGCACAGCCATAGCAAGGAGCTGCCCAGCTGCACCCACCCTGATTGCTCTTATCCACCACTGCCAAGTAGGCAATCTAGATGGCTTGGAGGGCTGGAGCCTCCACAGCTACCAGCAAAGATGGGAGAAAGATATAAAAGGCCGTCCTACTTAACAGGGTTTATATAAGGAGTCTGTCTCCATGGCAGAATGGGAAAACAGACGGATATTGGAAGTGATGCTTTGAGCACTGTGTTCACAGGGGCATCCCTGTTGATGGGTGAAGAGGCACCTGGAACCCACTGCATCAGGTGGGGGGCTCAGCCACCCCATGCTTCATTCCCACCGTGTCCCCATGTGTCCCCACTGCATCTCTGCTCTGTCCCTGCTGCAGCATGGGAAGCCCACAATAGGGCCCTTAGGCAAAGCTGCCCTGCTGAGTTGCTCCAGCCAGCTCCTCTCACTGCTGCCTGCTTTCCCAGAGCCTCCTAATCTCCAATGAACACTCTCATGAAGTCATTTATACAGTTAGCCTCTCCGCACTCCGCTCCAGTGCTGCTGTGACCAGCAGTTCAGCTTCCGCTGAGAAATTTGGAGGGGAGAAGCACCGTGCTGCTGGGGGTGCCCAGCGGACACTGGGGTTAGAGCTCTCCCTCCCCTGGCTGGCCCCATAGGGGAGCGGGCTGGAAGTGAGCCGGCAGCGGGCTGCACCTTGGCCAGCAGCGTGCGATGCCGGCAGGTCCGCTCCCCTTATGGAAAGGCACGTCGAGAGCGGCTGCGGATGTGTTTATTCCCGTCAGCCCTTGGCTGGTGGCAGGGAGCAGGATTAGGCGGTGAGGAGCTGGCACCTGCTGCCAAGTTCCCCTGATAGGCACTCGGAGCTGGGCATGGGTGGCAGAAAATAGCTGGGGAAAAGGGGGTCCTGTTTGCTGCAGGGACTGAGGAACGGGTGCTGTGTGTCACAGCCGGGCAGGGTGGGTGCTGATCCCACGCGGGGACCTGCGCCCGTGGGAGGAACACAGCTCCGCAGCCAGAGGCTGTGAATCCAAACGAAGAGAAGGAAAGAGCAATCCCCCTAATCCCAGGGCTCCACAGGCATTGGGCCATGCACAGCTTTCCTCGCAGCCCAGCTCCTCTGCCAGTGGCTTGTGGCAGTGTCCCAGCTACAGTGGGAGCAGTGCTGGGCCGCGCTGGTGCTGGAAGCTATCCCATCCTCTGGGTGCTGCAGGGCAAATTTTGGGGTGCACCAGAGACCATGAGCCTCTGGCACTGCTCTGGCTATGGGATTCTGCTGTGCAGCCATCGGGATAC